CACTCCCTAGAAGAACAGTACCAGGAACCATCCTGAGAGAGTGAGACTTAGACCCTTCTGCTGCCACCTCTCACTTCTCTCTTTACAAGGATTTTGTATTAGGAGTGAACAAATCCACCTGGAAATGAGAACTGCAGGTAACAGACTCCAAAGCCTGGGAAAAGCCGAGTTCTAAGCAATCTTGGTCTTAAGAATGACGAATGCACTAACTCTTGCTTAGTTCCACTCACCTTTGGCTCCTGAGTCAGATCAGTCTTCTGAAAAAGAAAACAAGAGACAGTAAGTGAGCAGCTGTAGCACACAAACACTTCCACCCAGCCACTGCTGGACAGGCTTATTCCTGAGAGCGCAGCCAAAAGCAGCTTCACAGAGCAGCTCCCCAGTGAAGGAGGCAGCAACACCATTTCCTGCTCAGGACATCGCTGCAAGCTTCATAACCACCTCCACAGCCTCCTGGCAGGTAACACAACAGGACTTTGAACTGCAAGTTAAGCCACAATTTCCTTCTTATCCAAATGACATTCCAGTCAGCAGGCACCAGGGAGACACAGCAGACAAGGAAAGGAATTTTGGTGCTTCTTGGAAGCTTCCAGGGAAGAAACATTTGACCTTTTAGAGCACCTTACATTCAAAAGCCAGACTCTGAAAGATGCTGGTGCCTCTTACACACTGAGATTGATGTCTGAAAAGGGCAAATGATTTGTCCACAGTCAGACAGGCAGCTGGAGAGAGAGCTGGGGCAACAGCTTACAGCCTGACTCCCAGTTCCAAACACTGAACAGCAGCAAGACACTGCTTGCACCATCTTACTGACCAGTGCAAATGAGTCCCTCAGACACTCAGGTTTGATTTGATGCAAAGACACCACGAGCATGTCTTTTTGCTGCAAGGTTCTGGTTTGGAAACTCTGCTCATCAATGTAATCAGTGCAGTGATTTAAGTTAATCTGGACATGTCTCAAACATTTAGCAACAGAGCCGCCATACCAGAACTGCATACTTCTAAGCACTGCACATCATTAATGGTCTTGTCCATCAGCTCCCCCATTCTCTGTGTTCAGACAGGCAACTGAACACCCAACCCTCGGAATTTACCCTGTGCAAACATCCCAAAGATCAGCTAACCTGTGGAGTGGCGAGGACTTCTTGTTCCTGGGGTGCGCCAACCTTGCCAATCAGAAAGATTCCACCGTTAGCACAAGCAGCCACACTTCAGAGCCTCAAGCACTGCAATTCAAACCTTACCTGGAAATGCATTTCAACCAGACTACAAAATGCACCAGGGTCTCCCACCCACCACCATGAACTGCAGAGAGAACTGCCTGCTCAGCAGGTGGGTTTGTTCAGCCTGTCAGTGCACCAGGAAAGTCAGACAGGAGAGAGTTTTTCATTGACTCCAAGTTTCACGTCCACTGTATCTGAATTTTAATTCACAGTAAGAAAAAGAACAAGAGATACATCTAAGGAGCTGTATCAGTTTCTCAAATGCGCTTTGCCCTCAAATTCACCTCCTTCTCACAGGAACAGACCAGGACAGAGACTTGCCTTGGCCATCCACCTTGACATACCTGCACATCTCTGACTCTAGGCAAGAATTAAGGAAAGAAGTGTCTTTACACAAAAAGGAAGAGGGTTCCTCACCACAACTGACAAAAAATGGCTTTCTGACCTGAGCTATCAGAGAAAAAGACCAGAGAGGCCCAGATGCAATGCAGAGACATCAAACACTCTTGCATTTTGGTGTATCACCACAAAGACACCACTGCAGCATAAGAGAGCAAATACGAGCCCAGGATGGCATCTCTTTACCACCGTGTGTTACAGAAACTACCCCAAATCTACCTGTTTCTGCTACAACCACACCTTTTGTTTGCTAAGCCGTACAGCCCTAGCGTCAGCAGAGCATTCCAACAGCATGGATGAGGCACACAATCCACTCTAGCTAGCTATTTTCATTAGCAAATCCAAACTGTCAACACTAACCCTGTCAACCTCATGTGTTCAGTCTCTCAGATCAGCACCAGCTTCCAGGCCACAGCAGATCCCTACTCACAGTGACAGCAAAAGATTTCAGACAGTCCCTGCACTTGCTTCCCCAACAACTTGCGAGTTGTATCCCAATTCCTAAGCACCTCCAGGACTGACAGAACTCAAGGAAAAGAGACTCTTACCATGCGTCTGTACTTGTTGACATTCTGCTGCAGCGTAGTTAGCAGGAAGCTGAAGATCTTCTCCATGTTCTGAGTGAGGGTTTGCTGGATATCTCGTCGCCGCTGGGTAGGCAGAGTTTGAAAAGTCACTACGTCCTCTGCCAAACGTAGGAGAATGAACATCACCAGTTCCGTCTGAGTTTCCTGACATCCCAAAATGAAATACACACCATCAGCACAGTTCAAAGACTAAAATCCCTAGAAGCTAGGCCAAAGATGTATGGAGAAAGTGAACATGCATGAAGATACAAGTCACATCTTGGGAAAGTAAGACAGAAGGACGCCCCACTCTTCTGCTAAAATCATCTCCTAGAATAACTTAATCTAACAGGGATTTTTGAGTCCATCATCAGTCTGTCTCATCTGAGCACAACTGAATTAAGCTTTCATCAGGATGATGGAAGACCAAAACCCATGCTATGACCAAGCAGAAGAGAACAGACAGGTGTGTCTCATACCCCTTGCTTGGAGAGGGTATCCAGCTCCTTCAGCATGTCAGGCCAGTGCTGAGGCCATTCGCGCTTGATCATCTCCACCACAATGCGAGACAGAACATCCTTAATATGACTTTCCTCCTCCAGAATACTCTGAGTTCCCTGAGACAGAGGGACAGAGTTATCAAAACAGCAAACGTCAGACATTTGTAACTTTGACTTGCAAAGCACAGTGGTCGCAAATATTCTAAACCACAGAAAAACAACGAAACAAGACTGAGCCGCTCTCCATCCCAGCGACCTTGGATGACACTCCTACACTCCCAAACACCCACAGCTAGTGAACTCCGAGAGCCAAAAGGATTTTCCTCAGACAAAGGTCACTTGGTCACAAAAGCAATCATAATAGAGAAAACACGACTAAGATGACGAGTTTGATATTCTTGAAAGTATAAGAACACCCATCTTTACTAAACTGCCTCCTAAGAAAGAAAGCACTGCATATACATTATACAAGACTTGCAACTTCTGCCACACGGAGTGACATGGTTATTGACCCAACTACAAGACAGAGAAAATCCCTGGAACAACTAAGGATGCACAGCAAGAAAGTAATGAAATGCACAACTGAATTCAGGTACTGTGTGCTAAGTAACTGGAATCCTTTGTCCTTTCACTCCCGCTTTCTGTCTTCAGGTGACAGAATCATACGTCAGATAACAGCCTGTGGTAGAAGGCACTTACACTGGATATGAGGCCCATGACATTGTTCTTTAGATAAACTTTTTCTAGGCGAGGCATACTGTTCCACCGGAACCTGTTTGAAAGAGCAACAAAAATGACATCAAATCAAAATATTTATAAAGATCTCTGACTTGATTCCCAACCACCGCTTCTTTACCTACAGGGACACTACAGCTCCCAGGCTCTGCCAGGGCCCAATGCCTTAATGAAAAGGCTGAGTTAAAACTGCTGCTGGCAAATGGGCGTGCACCACTGAGGTCAACACACATGGGGAGCAGCAGCAAATGCACAAAGCATCAGGTCTGTAGAGGCGGCAGAGACGAATCTCGGAACTGAACTAATACAAAGCCTCTTTGTTAGCATGAGGCTATGGCCAAAGAACGCTGCAAAGACCTACTGATAACCCTGCGTACTTGTTTACACCTTGCAATGTCAAGGTACCTTAGTGCTTGGCGAATTAACCTTCCCAACCTGCCTGAAAGTTGTTTTTCTCCTCTCCTTATTTTACAGGGAAGGGAAAAAAAGGAGCAGGACAGCAACTGCTCTCTGCTGCGGAACAGACCCTTCACATCCTCCAAGTGCCTCCCTGCTGAGGGAGGCGCCGGGCCGGGCGCAGAACCCACACCAGCGGCTGTGTGGCAGCAGGCCGGCTCCCTCCCCGGCACAGGCAGCGGGACGAGCTGCCTTACTTGACCACATGCTCCAGGATCTGCAGGCCGAAGTGCCGGACGATGGCCGTCTGCGTCTTCTCTGCCAGCTTCAGCCCGCAGGGCACACAGATGGGGCACTTCTCCTTGAACTCCTCGCAGAACTGGGGAAGCACCGGCAACACGGGTTAAAACACAGGAGCGGGCACGGGGCGGCCAGTGACGGGGGGCAGCCGCAGCCCCTCGGGAAGGACAGCGTTTAGAGGGGGGCGCCCGACCCCCTCAGCGCCGCGCAGGCGCAGCCCCGCTGCCTTCCCCCACCCACTGCCGGCTCCCAGAGTCTTGGCGGCTTTACCCGGGCCCGGCACGTCCCCGTCCCTCACGCACCGGGCCGGAGCTGGTCCCGGGGCCGTGCGGTCGGGGCACCCGCGTGGCCGGAGCCCGGCGCCTCCCCTCCGCTCCCCGGCCGAGTACCTTGAGCGCCTCCAGGCGGTAACGCTGCGTGGAAGCCGGGTCCATGATGACGGTCACCGCCTTCACTAACTGCTCGCAGAGGCTGTTCACCTGCTCCCCGACCATGGCAGCGGCCATGGCAGCTGCAGCGGCGGCCACAGCAGCGGCGGCAGCCATGGCGGCGGCAGCCACCGACGGGCGAAAAGAGGGGGCACCCCGTAGCGGGCGCACGCGCGGCACCGCAGCAGCCTCCGCGCATGTGCCGGGGAAGGAGGAGGAACTAGTGGGGAAAGAGCATGCGCCGCCCCCATTAAGAACTACAAGTCCCGACTTGCCTTTCGCGGGTACCACTGCTCTTGGGGTGCTGCTGTGGCGGCGGCCTTCCTCCTTGCTGTGCCGCCCTACGGAAGCGCGTCACTCACTCAGTCACTCACTCAGTCACTCACTCAGTCACTCACTCAGTCACTCACTCAGTCACTCACTCAGTCACTCACTCAGTCACTCACTCAGTCGCGGTCGTAGTGGGATGTCGCGGGGACAGGAGCGTGTGGTGGCCCTGGTGGACATGGACTGCTTCTTCATGCAGGTGGAACAGCGCCTCGACCCGCAGCTGCGTGGCCGCCCCTGCGCCGTGGTGCAGTACACCGAGTGGCGGGGCGGCGGGTAGGTAGCGGCGGCGGCGGCCCCGGCTCCCCGCACCGCCCCTCCGCGCGGCCCTGCACTGCCCTCCGTGTCTTGCAGGATCATCGCGGTGAGCTACGAGGCGCGCGCCTTCGGCGTGTCCCGCGGGATGTGGGCGACAGAGGCGCGGGCGCTGTGCCCCGAGCTGGCGCTGGCTCGGGTGCCCCAGGCGCGGGGCAAGGCCGACCTCACCCGGTGAGTGGGGCTGGGGTCGGGCTAGGGGGGGTGGCCGGCAGCGGCGGGGGCCGCCTTTACGCGGGGCGGCGGCCGAGGCCGTGCCCGCTGTTGAAGTCGTGCCCGCTGCCCGGCAGGTACCGGGATGCCAGCGCGGAGGTGATGCAGGTGCTGTCTCGCTTCGCCGCCATCGAGCGGGCCAGTATCGATGAGGCGTACCTGGACCTGACGGGCAGCGCGCGGGAGCGGCTGCGAGCCCTGCAGGGCCGCCCCATTGAGGCCGCGCTGCTGCCCACCACCTTCGTGCACGGGCTGCCCGACGACCCCGGCGGGCCCGAGCCCGGCCCCGGCCCCCAGCCCGGCGGGAAGGGTACGCACCGACCCGGGCTTCGGCCGCCGCGGCTGGCGCTTTGCATACCGCAGCGGGGGGGTTCTAACGGCTTTGCTTTGAGGACGCGCAGTGCAGCAAGGAAGGAGCACGGCGCTGCCACCCTGGGTGCCCTGTGTTGTCCCTGTGCTGTTCCATCGGTAATGCGTCCTGTACATCACCAGAGGGTGTGCTGCTTTACCTGCCCCGAAGCGAGAGCGTGGTAAATGGGAGCTATGGTTGCCCCCGTGAATGGCATTTAAGGTGCCTGAGTCTCATCCTTGCTGCTGGCGTGAAGAATGTGGCTGTTGGCTGGGGCTGGCTGATGCTACCGGTCCCTTCGCTGGGCTCAGCAGGAAGTGCCCACGCTGATCCCCTTTGTGTCCCTTTTCTAGAGGAGCTGCGGCAATGTGGCTTACACGAGTGGCTAGCGACGCTGTCATTTGATAACCCCGATTGTCCTGACCTGCAGCTGACCATGGGTGCGGTAATTGTGGAGGAAATGAGGGTGGCCGTAGAAGCAGCCACCGGATTCAAGTGTTCAGCTGGAATTTCACACAACAAAGTATGTGTGTAACACATCAGCCTGATTTCTTCTGAGGAGCAGAATCAGAATGTAGATGCTCTGTAGGCGCTTTCCTATGTGCTCTGCAAAGTTTCCTATAAAAGATGAGCTGAGTGGGGAGTGCAGCCATGTGTGAGCATGCCTTTGGGGAAATTATAGGACATCCGGGAAGGGGAGGAGTTTTTTCCCTAGAGATGTGGCCTATGCAGTCAGCAGTCAATCAATTTACTGCCTGGATTCCTGGTGTACCCTTATGAATTGCTTAGAAGACAAAGGTTTTAAATACCCCAGGAGGGTTTTCCTCAGGAAAAAAAGAGAGCTGAGGAAACTGCACCTTGAGTTTTAGATAACAGTGGCTGTAGCCAGGGAATGGTTTTTAATGACACAAATTCCCAGCGGCTTGGACAAAACACACCACCAGTTTGGGGCACTGAGGTGAGGGGCTGCTCTTCCTCTTTCTGGTCCATCAGTCTTTACCCTGCTGGCAGTGCTTTGGGTGATGCTCAGCCAGCTGCTGAGAGCAGCTGCAGGAGCACTTGGAGCATGTCAGTAGCTGCAGAAAAAAACAGACTTTGATGCTGCAGCTACAGAGGGTTTCCTGCTGGGAGAAGTACAGGGTGCCTTATTGACAGCACCTCGCACTCCTTTTGCTGTTTGCAAAAGGGGCTTATCTGTACAGATGTGACTTTTAACAGTACAAGCTCTGACTGAAAAAATAGAAGGATAAAGACTAAATGAATGCTTTGGAACTTAAGGAATCTACATTTCATCTTGGACTGCTGCAGGAAAAAATGGAACTATTACCAGCTGTACACAGGGAGTGGAGCGAGTTCTGCACTGGCTCATCTTGAAACTAAAGCAGACTGAGGCAGAAATGAGCTAGCTGAGGAAGAACACTGGTACAGAAATTTCCAGTGGAAGAGATCTTCAATTTGCCCTTTTGCTCTTTTTAATCAAGAATAGTAAAGAGCATCCCTGCTATCCCTAGCAGCTTCTCCCACATCCCATTTCCTATGCTAGCATTATTCTTTCTTTTCTAAATTCCCTTAAAGGGGGTAAGAAAATTATGATGTACTGTGCTGTCCCTGAAGACCTGTTGATCTATACCAGAAAGCACAATGAAGAGATTACCAGAGCCTATGTTTGCCTGTGCAGAACACACTACAGTGCTTCCACAGCCAGCTCAGCTCTGTAGGTACAAGCCTTTTCTGCAGAGAATGAAAGGAGTGTGAGGTGTTGTCAGTATTTCACCCAGCAGGAAACCCTCTGTAGCTGCAGCATCAAAGGCTGTTTGTTTCTGCAGCTTCTGACATGCACCAAGTGCTCCTGCACTGCTCTCAGCAGCTGGTTGAGCATCACCCAAGGCATGGCCAGCAGCGGTAAAGACTGATAGACCAGAAAGAGGAAGAGCAGCCCCTCACTTCAGTGCCCCAAACTGGTGGTGTTTTTTGTCCAAGCCACTGGGAATTTGTGTCATTAAAAACCATTCACTGGCTACAGCCACTGTTACCTAAAACTCAAGGTGCAGGTTTCCTCCTTTGAGCTCATTTTATTTTTTCTGAAGAAGACCCTCCTGAGGAAGTTTTGTTCCTAGTGAGCTAACTCATTAGAGTACACCCAGAACCCAGCTGATAAACGAGACCAAATAATTGAATGAACTATTTGGGAACACCATGGTTTTATCAAGAACTACTTGTGCCAAACTCATTTACGTGCCCTCTTTGACAGCAAAAGTGGCCTAATGTACAGGGGGAATTGCACCTGTGAGGTGTTGACCTTAAGGTTTCTAACACACCTCAGCCTGAGTTGCATAAACCGATGATGACGACACCCTAGCAAAATGCAACACGGCTGATGTTATCTGAAGGGCATGCATCTGGCCAAAGAAAATCTTGCTGGTGCCCATAATGATTGTGTTCAGGGACGTTTAGAGTGGGATCCTGTGGGGATCTGTCTGAGCTCTGCAAAAAGCCAATATTTTCACTGCAGCCTTTAGAGAGGGAATGGCTGTAGGAATTCAGGTGGTGCTAAGATGGGGCTCTGGGTCTGGGCTGTGAGAGTTCTGGGAGATGAAATCAGAGCTGAAAATTCTGGGCTTGAAAAGCCCAGAAACAGTCTGAAATCACCACGCAGTGCTGCTTACACTCCTCGCTGGCTGCCTTTTGTGGTTTATAGGAAAAAAAGCAACCAGCAGACTTTTGGCTAAGTTGCAGCAAGTAGCCTGGAGTTATTGCGGGCAAGCAGCAGGATGAGTCAGTAATATGAGTGCTCTTGTAGAAACGGCAAATCCTGTTTCAGCATGTGCAGATTAGTGAAGGGGTCACGAAAAAAGAATTATTTCTCCCCATGAAGTCTCAATGATGGGTTCAGCTTGCAGCATTTCATGAACAGTGTGGGCAAACTTGGAATAGTCTCCAGTGAAAAAAGAATGATGATAACTGGACATCTGGAAAATGACTGGATATGAAAAGTTGAAGGAAAGATATCTATTTGTCTAGATAGTGAGAATGCATGTGAGACTGTAAAATAAGCTATTAATAAAGAACATAGTTCAATGAGCAGGAAGGAAATTCTGCTTAGTTATAGGATGTGTGGTAAAGCAATGAAAGAGGAAATTACTAGACTTGTTAAAAAAACCCAAACACCCAGCTATATGTATTCTGAGCTGGTATGTGTATTCTTGATCCTGCTGTAGATTAGAGTGGGAGGGGAAGCTGTGTAGCTGATAGGCTAGAGAACATCCCTTCTAGGCTAGTAGGCCTGTATTCTGCAGATTTCCTTTTGAAGCATTATGCTGCTATGGACGTCACAGAGAGAAGATTAAATTAGTGACATTGAGAAAAAACAAGACAAACACAGAGATGAAGGAGCAAGACATAGTGAGAGAAATATCCTGGACAGGATTACAGGGATGCTCTGGAAGCTCTAGCATGCTTGCCTGATGGAAAACTAAGCCAAGCAGAACTGGTGATAGACTCAGATCCCCTAAGCTACCTGAAGCAGGAGTCCAGCCCTTTGCAGAGCTAGAAGTCTGGAAGCAGCAGCGCGTTCAGAGTGCATGCCACATGCTTTTCAGCCAGTGCGTGCCAAGTCCCAAATTGGGTATTACTTGGGAGCAAGCAACAATGCAGTCTGCACATCCTTCCTAGCAGCTATTCCAAAGGCAGCTCTTAGAGGTGATAAAGCACAAGCCATTAGGTAGATTCACATAAAGTCAGTGCAGAGTTTGTAATAACAGTGTTTCCATTCTCTTGTGTGTTACAGACACTGGCAAAACTGGCCTGTGGGCTAAACAAGCCCAATCGCCAGACACTACTGTCCTCGCGATTTGTCCCGCAGTTCTTCAGCCAGCTGCCTGTCGGCAATATGTAAGTACTGGGGAGCTGCCTGCTTTTGTCCAGCCTGGGGCTCAGGCTGAGCTGCTTTGTGGCAAGAGCTCGTACGTGAAATGCTGGTGCTATGCATCCACTATCTAGGCTTTTATAAGGAAGAGGGCCCTGTTTGTCCTCGTTGTTGTGGTACTTTCTCCTGTTGGTTTGTCATCATTGCTTGGTGTGAGCAGAACTAAAGTATCTTGGGGGTACAACACTATTTCTGCCCACCTCAACAGAGAGCAGTGATGCTAACTGATAGCAGCCAGCAAAGGCTTTTAACTCCACAGTAACTGCTTATCAATGCTTGTAAGAAATGGAGAGGATATCCTGCCAGTAATCCCTCACAGCTGTGAGCAACAGGTTGGGAGGAGCCTGTGTGGGAGCTGCAGCCCTCCCCATGAAGGGACTACAGTTGAAGAGCCCACGAGCATCCTGTGGGCAGCCTTTCCCTGGTTAGAGCTGTGCTGGAGATGACTGCTGGCATGTGTAGGTGTAAGCCAGGAGCAGCTGTGAGCAAGGAGGCCGTAGCTGTGCCCCAGTGTGAGGGACAGAACTGTGCTCCCAGAGAGCAGATGTGGCTTGGTTTTGAGCATCCACACTGTTCACAAGTACTTTTTCTGGTGAGGGAAAGAGTTGCCAGCACCATTGCTCCAAATGAATGGATTCCTGGTCCTACACTGCTGCTCTCTGCATTCAGTGTCTCACTGGGGATGGAGAGGAGGGGGGTGTGGAGGTAGAGGGGTCCTGTCTGCATAGGAAGAAGCAGGGAGTGTGCAAGGCAGTCTTCAAAGTATGGTTTGAGACCACATTTTGAAGATGGAGCTGAGAAAGAAGCACTGAAACTGTGTAAACCAAACAGCAGTTCCCACTTCATCTGCCATGTGTCCTTCCACTATGAGCTAAGAGCTGTTTTCTACCAAGTGTTCCTTTTTGTCTTGCTATTTCCTGACTGTTTCTAGCATGATCAGCTGCTGCAAGAAGACTTGGTATAGTCTCCACCTGATGTTTTGGTTTTGTTTCCTCTTTCTCTTCTTCTCTGCCACAGCCGTAACCTGGGAGGCAAGCTTGGCACTGCCATCACAGACATCCTGGGAGTAGAGTACATTGGGGAGCTGACACGGTACAGTGAGAGAGAGCTCCAGACTCACTTTGGAGACAAAACTGGGTAATGATAAACCACTTGTCACAACTTAGCTCTTGGCAGGAACTGGGACTTCCTTTCAGTCACAGGTTGTTCTGCTGTGATTAGGAGGGTTGGAAGGTAAAACTTCAGGTGACAACTCTTGAGAAGCATCAGTCTGGCAGGCCTACAAATAGGTTTTCAGTCTTGCCTGCTCCCAAGCACCCTCCCCAGCATGTTTTGCCTGTCAGCCAGCTCCTCTGCCTTCCTCTAGAGGTTCTAAGGACTGGGGCCAAGCTGCGGAAGTACTCCCTGCAGGCTAGGAAGCAAGCAGGCTTAACAGTCTCATTACAGAGGAAATTACAAGGCTGGATTTGGAGTTGGAAACACCCAGAGCAGCAGTTCGGGTGCCCTGCAGACCGGTGAACTGTTGCCACTTCAGGAGAAGGGGTGGAGGAGTTGTGCTGACGGGCAGCTGTGGCCTGAAGGGAAGCCTGCCTGTTCACTGTGGCTGCAACTGCAGAGCTGGGGATTAGAGGCAGAGTCACAGCGTACGCAAAGCTGAAAGCATGGCTCAGCAGAAAGCTGACTTACTGCCCAGTGGTGCCTGCTTGTCTGTGGCTGCCTTCACCTCATGCTTCCTCTGTGGCTTTCAGGTCCTGGCTCTATTACTTGTGCAGAGGAATTGAAGAGGAACCTGTCAAAAACCGGTACCTGCCCCAGTCCATTGGCTGCAGCAAGAACTTCCCTGGGAAGATAGCCCTGGCCACACAGAAAGAGGTAGGAGAAGCCTACTCCTAGCGTAAGGCTTGGCTTTTGTGCTGAAGAAGATGAGAACGCTAAAAGCTGAGACTAGCTTGCAAAACTGCTGCTTTTCTGTATCACTATGCCCTGAAACTCAGCCTAGGGTTGGGCTGAGCGGGAGTGGGTGGTTTGAGCCTCAGAAACTAAGGAGATCCCTGTTTGACAGAAATGCATTGATGAACTGCACAAGGTGTCCAACCTTCTTGTAGTTTCCATAAGAAAAACTGTGGGCCTGTGCTGTTCAAAAGGTATTCCTGGTGCTAAGCTTCAAGGGCTTGGTTGCTACAGAAAAAGGTAACCAGCCTAAAAGGAAGAGGGAGGACACACCTTGCCTGTTAGCTGGGGAAGAGGTTCCCACAGATTTGTGGGGAGACAGGTAGAAAGTTTACTTAGCAAAGACTAGTAGTAATGCTGGAGGACTTGTATGGAGGACTTTGTACTGCCTTGCCTCCAGTGCTGAATCCTTACCTGGGCCAGTTTCTCCAGGAGTACTCCAGATATGGGGCCTTACAATAGTCTGTGTCCTTTCCAGTCTGATCCCTCTCCAGCACTGCCCAGCTTGCGCAGTGTTGCTCTGGCCTGGTGGCAGTGCTGTGAGCAGAGATCCAATCTGTCTGTTACCACTGTTTTGTCCAGGTGCAGCACTGGCTCCTGCAGATGGCCTTGGAGCTGGAATCCAGACTGATCAAAGACAGGAGCCAGGTAAGGAGGGGAGGCACTAGGACAGCATTCCCCCGGCTTCAGGAAGCCATGCAGCCCGTTTGCACTGTGAGCTGATTGCAGGAGGCTGAGGGTGCTGTGTGTGTGTGTGTGTGTGTGTGTGTGTGTGTAAATCTGCTCGCCCTCAGATACGTGCTTGTGTGCAGAGGTGTTCAAGCAAAGAGGTGTGTAGGAGCCTCTTTGGAGGTTGGTTTTGCCCCAGAACACTGCAGGGCTAAGGACTGTCCTTGTCCTGTGCTTTAGGTTGCAAGGACCTGAAAGCCACCACACCATCCTGCTCCCTTGCAAGCCCTTTGCTGATGCAGCTCTTCTTGTGCTTTGGGCTGTGAGAGGAGGCAATATGCTCAAATCTAGATGTGGTAGATTTGCAGGCGAGGGTGAGAAATCTAGATTCATTGTTGTAAGGAGGGCAAGAAAGGGTGCACAGCTGCTTTGGAAGGAAAGCAAGGAGTAACTGCTTCCCATCCGGTGTGGCACAGCTGTACCAGCACTTGCTGTTCTGTATGTCATCCCTTGGAGATCAGGCCAGGCAGGACAAGCTGCCATCTGTCACAGGCCGTAGCTGATGGCGCAAGATTCTGGGCAGCGGGACAGTCTCCTCGGCCTTTCCTGCTCTCTCCTGCAGGTGTCGCTTGAAACACAGCTACCTCTTCTCTCTCTGCAGAACCACCGAGTGGCCAAGCAGCTGATGGTGGTCATCCGCATGCAGGGAAACACCCGGGTGTCACGCTTCTGTGCTCTGACCCGCTACGATGCCCAGAAGATGTGCAACGATGCCTTTGCCCTCATCCAAAACTGCAACGTGGCTGGCGCTCACCAGGCGGCCTGGTGAGTGTGCGAGAAAGTAGTTCAGTGTCCTCACTGGAGGTTGTTCTGCTGCAGGAGGTGCAGGATGAGCACAGAAAGGAACGGGAGTGTTACACTGACTGGCAGGAAAAAGTGGTCCCTGTTCCATGCACAGAAATATTCACTTGTAGGACAGCAGTGAGAGCTGGCCTCTTCCTGCCCCGCATCTGGCAAGACACTTCTTACTTCTGTACTTGGAGCTGATGATTACTACTGGCACAGGGGTGTCCAGCTGGGACAAGGCAGTCCTTTGCCCTGCTGGGCTGGAGAAGCTAGGTAGGCCTTGCTCTCCTTCCCTAAGGACAAAGGTGCATTCTGGGAGGAGGCCATGGGGGCAGGAAGGAAAACATAGCTCCTGTGTTCCGTGTTACTTTATTCATCTTCCTCCTGCTCTGAGTGCAGGTGAGAAGGTCCTGTCTATTAGGCTCTGACAAGGCTGCTGCTCCCTTAAAGGCCCTCTTACCTTGCCTGGGAGTCTCACAGCAGCTCTGGCCTGTGGTGGACTGAAAGTCCAGGCTGGTAGCTACCTGCCTCTGTTCCAGTGCCCCTTCCTTTGGGAAATGCTGTTCTGGAAAGAAGCTTTCTGCTCTGCCCAACATAGCCTGCTATGTCTGAGAGACTGTTCCGGAGGCAGCAAAACTAACATTTTGTCAGACGAAACATCTCTCCTACCTCAGACTGAAGTTCCCCTGCCTGTGAATGTTTTATGTTGCTTAAAGTTTTACCTCAAAAGACTTGTTGCTTCCCAGGCTGGTGTCTGAGCTGATGTTAGTCTGTCGTTTGCAGGTCTCCACCACTTATATCGGTGCTTCTCTCGGCAAGCAAGTTCTCAGAACCTGCCACACTCCTCTCTGCAGGCATCACCACCTTCATGACGGGTGATACCCAGCCTGATGACACTGTCACCGCTGGCCAAAACAATACATCTTCCAGGAGGCCCATGGTCAAGTTCTTTAGGAGCCCAAGCAAAGAGCTCAGGCAGAAGCCAGCTAATGCTATTGAGTCATTCTTCCAAAAGGCATCAGAAAGGCAGCAGTCACAGATGGCAGCAGCAACCAGCCTGCCTGCTGCTCCCACTGCAGCGTCACCTGTGCCCAGCTCCCCAGAGCACCAAGAGGGAGATGGTGTTGGCCTTGGCTCTGTGCAGTGCGACCTGGAGTCCCCTGTGAAGCAGAGTCCCAGAGATGGGAGCAGTACTTCTTACAAGAGGCTTCACCGTGGGAAGTCACTGTCTGATGCTACACAAACACCCTCAACTCCACCCAGCTCTAGGACCCTTCTGAAATCAGAGCCAGCTATGGAGGAAAATGAGCAGAATTTGCCACCCTCTCCTGAGCTCACCCTGCTCCCTCCTGCCTCACCAGGGGACCAGCAACACTGTGAGAAGTGTGGCCAGCTTGTGCTGGTGTGGGAGTTCCCAGAGCACATGGACTACCACTTCGCTCTAGAGCTGCAAAGCTCCTTCCTGGAGTCCAGTGTTCCTACTGCTCCAGCAGCAGACCCCAACCCAACGGCTGCAGCTTCCACATCTCCTGCCAAGGCAAAGAACAAGGCCAAGACTTCAGCAGGATCTAGTGCAAAACGGCCCAGAGAAGGTGTAACAAGAACTTTAGATTTCTTCTTTAAGCGCTTACCTCCTTAACTCCCACCTGTGCTGGCAGCTTTTATAGAATCTGTGTTTTTAAAAGAATCAGTGTTCTTAAAGAATTGGTGTTTTTAAATATAGTTAAAAGTTTTTATACTGCTTGCCAGGTTTTTAATGCAGAAAAGTCTAATAAATTATCTGTATCCCAAGTCTAAGAAGAACTGGACCTTGCAGAGTGTGTGTGATGCTGGATGTACCCAGTTCAGGTGGTGCCTGCAAGGTTGCTTCTGCTTGCGTGGTACTAACTGAAGCTGCACCCTACTCTCACATACATGTCTTGCCTTGAGTATTTCCATAGCTTGGTAGTTCTGTTCCTACATCTTCCTGTTCCTACTTTAAAAGCAGGCACTGTAAACACAGTGTATTTGCAGTGTTTAGCAGTCCATCGTGTGGTGCTCATCACCAGCTCTGGCGTGCTGCAGACCTGCTGTCAAGACTTGAGGAAGCTGGTGCTGCACAGGCATACTTTTTGTTAGGCTTTTTGAAATGTAAGCACCAGTTCATAATAGTTGCTGTTGACACATGAACAGTCTACTGCTAGAGTCGCTACAGAGGGATGGGAAACGTGCCAGACCATATTTTTCACTGTCCCACACGATATCCTTGTCTCTAAATTGGAGAGACATCAATTTGATGGATGGACCACTCTGTGGATAAAGAACTGGCTGGACGGCTGCACACAAACAGTTGTGGTCAATGGCTCAATGTCCAGCTGGAGACCAGTAACGAGTGGTGTCCCTCAGGGACCTGTGTTGGGACCGGTCTTGTTCAACATCTTTGTCACTGACATGGACAGTGGGATTGAGTGCGCCCTCAGCAAGTTTGCCGATGACACCAAGCTGTGTGGTTCGGTTGATGCCCTGGAGGGAAGGAATGCCATCCAGAGGGACCTTGACACGCTTGTGAGGTGGGCTGATGCCAACCTCATGAAGTTTAACCATGACAAGTGCAAGGTACTACACCTGGGTCGGAGCAATCCCAGGCACAGCTACAGGTTGGGCAAAGAAGAGATTCAGAGCAGCCCTGTGCAGAAGGACTTGGGGGTGTTGGTTGATGAGAAAATGAACATGAGCTGGCTTCAGTGTGCACTCGCAGCCCAGAAAGCCAACTGTATCCTGGGTTGCATCAAAAGGAGCGTGACCAGCAGGTCCAAGGAGGTGATCCTGCCCCTTTACTCTGCTCTTGTGAGACCTCACCTGGAGTATTGTGTGCAGTTCTGGTGTCCTCAACATAAAAAGGACACAGAACTGTTGGAACAAGTCCAGAGGAGGCCACAAGGATGATCAGGGGACTGGAGCACCTCCAGTATGAAGACAGGCTGAGAAAGTTGGGGCTGTTCATCCTGGAGAAGAGAAGGCTGCGTGGAGACCTCATAGCAGCCTTCCAGTATCTTAAGGGGGGCTATAGGGATGCTGGGGAGGGACTCTTCATTAGGGACTGTGGTGACAGGACAAGGGGTAGTGGGTTAAAACTTACACAGAAGAAGTTTAGGTTGGATATAAGGAGGAAATTCTTTCCTGTTAGGGTGGTGAGGCACTGGAATGGGTTGCCCATGGAGGTTGTGAATGCTCCATCCCTGGCCGTGTTCAAGACCAGGCTGGACTAGGCCTTGGGTGATACGGTTTAGTGTGAGGTGTCCCTGCCCATGGCAGGGGGGTTGGAACTTGATGATCTTAAGGTCCTTTCCAACCATAACTATTCTATGATTCTATATTTTCCCTCCTTCCCAGACTTAGTGATACTCTCTGTGTAACTTGATGACAGGTATTTGTTTTGACCCTATGAAACTGAATGGTTTGTTCAGCTCTTTGGGCCACAGTTCACATCAGGGTGCCTGCCGCAGTGCTCCACAGATTACATCAACCAACAAAGCAGAATAGCATGGAGGGAGCAAGTGGGCACTGAGAGGGGGAGAGACCAGCTCCAGGGCAAGAGCTGTGCTTGCCCACAGCTGCCTGGCAGGGCTCAGCTCCGTGCTACACTGCTGGCTGCCTGGAGCCTGACACTCTTCTGGAAGTGCTGTTGCCAGTGATTTGAACTTGGCTCTTGGGGCAGGGGGGAGGGATGTGCCACGTCAAGGCAGCACTGGGTGGGGTTTGGAAATTGCTGAGCATTTCATCAGCTGCAGGGGGAGAGCAGGGAGTGGATAATGATGCAAAGTGCAGCAATATTTGCATGTGCTGTTTCCCTGTCTTCTCTGAACTGCACCAGTCTACTTGGAGCTGTGGAGCTGCTTTCCTTCCAGCAGACAGCCTGTGCCAAGAAGCTGCCACATTACTGTCCGTGGGGTCTAATACATGACAACACGGTTGTTAAGAGGTTTGAGTAAGAGCTCATTCTGGTGCGTGCAGAGGAAGAAATTACAGAGTCACTTCCATTAATGACAGTCCTCACATTGCAAAGTGACAAGTTTCCCTAAAGTCCTCATGTAAAGAGAAATAGCAACCAGTCTGGCAGGGTTGCCTCACGCTCCTATGACAGCGGCACATCTCATTTCCTAAGTGTCGGGCGGGACTGGACACAAAACCAAAGTTGAGACCAGACCAGTCCCTTCAGCGACACAGTCACCTCCACAGGGAAGCTGTTCTGCCCCTGCTGCCCCAAGAGAACAACCTGTTCTCATGGAGAGGCCATAACAGCAAACCCCTTGCTAAGGTCGGAGCTATTTTTAGAACCAAGCAGGGTTAGCTGTGTGCCCCAGAAAGCATCCCTTTAATTAGGCTCTGGGGGAATGTGTGGCTGCGAGGAAGCGCTTGCAGCAGCCTGTTCCGCCCACAACAGCCTGAAGTGCTGTGCTCAGGGTGACGTGGCTGCCTGTCACCCCGGGCTGCACACCCCGGCTTGCTCAGATAAGCCGGGAGAGAGCGGTTGTAAACAGCAGCATGCGTGCATTCCTTCCATGCCACAGACACAGGTATTCATAGGGCTGAATGCGGGAAGCTTAGGAAGGTGTGAAGCACAACCGCCTCCAACCCTGACCCAGCTCCAAGGGCAGCAGGGCAAGAGCCCAGCTCCACCCTCACTTGTTGTACAGCTCTGCCAGCAAGCTCAATAAAACGTATTTATTCTGTACATTTATATAGAGATGCTTGGGGAACCCCCAGCATTAGAAAAATTCAAGACAACAAAACAGCAATTATGAAACCATGGCACCAAGAACAGTCATGCCACAGATGGCAGGGATGTGGTGAGACCAACCATCAGCTATTTCAGAGGTCACAGCACCACATACCCACTTTTGGGTAGAAAACATCAGGGCTGCTGCAAACAGCTGGATTTCCCCACCACCCCCAGACAGTTTTCTTTGTGACTTTGCAAGCACCAAAGGGAAGAGCCTGGTGGCTGGGGCCTTCTTGCAGGCATGGGTGAAAGACAATGTCACCGTAATACCCAGACCACTGCCAGGATGGGAAGAAAGGGGGATCCTGCTTGAGAAGTGACCTTGACCCAGCAGCTCCTGTCTCACAGCTGGGCTGATGGGAAAGAAGCAGAGTTTTCAGCTGGCTCAGTGCTCCCCTGAAGGGACAGGTCACTCCTGTCACTACAGAGCTGCCTCTGAATCCCTTTCACACTGGCTTCCCCATGTCTGAGCGAGCTCTTTTCAGGGTGCAGCCACCACTTCCCACCTGCTGGAGTCCTGCCCTGTGGAAAGCCGCTCTGCGACATCCATGGGCTTCTCAGTCCCACAGGTGCTGCCTGTGCCAGCAGCCCAGAAAGCAGAACTTGCTCTCATGATGCTAGAAGGGCTGTTTGGGTGTCCAAGTGCTATCATAGACCTTTGCCCTTCCCTTCAGTTAGGGTTGGCTGAAGGCCCATTGTTCACAGCAGACACAATTTGTCTAACAGTCAACGATAAACCCAAAAGCCTATGTACAGCTATACAGCCCCTGCTGCACCTCCAGGGTACACAGGAGAGCTGCATGACAGCAAGTAGGAGACAGATGTGCTCCACTCTTTGTGCACAGAGTCCTTGCTGGCAACGTCACCCTTCTTCTGACAACAAACCCCAGTGGCAAGGGAAAGAAAATTCTTCCTCCAGGGGAAACAGAAATAAAGTCATGCCACTTTCAAATCACAACTAAACCATAAAGTCACCTGGTTTTGTGTTCGTAACACACCCCGCCTTCCTCGCACATTAAGGCAAGCATGTGGGGAGCACACTGGGCTGAGACCTGGAAGAGCCACACCAGGGGAACCCACTGCAAACCACTGCTGCTAACGTGCAGATGACACCCTCAGCTGAACATTCGTGGAAACAACGTGCACACACCAGCAAAGGCGCAGGCCCTGCTCCTCTCCACAGAATGGCATCCTGCACAGCTGCTGCAAGGAGCAGATGCAAGTGCAAACTCTGCCTTCATGTTACATCGGGAGGCTGTGCAACTCAGCAGCCACAGCTTCCCAGGAGTCAGAAAGTGGGATGCTGAAAGGGTGTGTATGTATGTATGAGCAGGGAACAGGACATCTGTCCAACAGTAAGACACTCGGATTGGAGTAATGCAAAACCAACACACAAATGGACACACAGCAGATTAAAACCAACCAAGATTAGAACGGTTAAAAAGTATCCTGAATGCATTCTGAGAGGTTCAACGAAGGCTCTGCTGTGGGTGGCAGGGCCTCTTCCATCCCCTGCCCAGAAGAATGCTCTGCATGATGACTCAGGAGAGGACTGTTATCAACCCAGTACTTGGAGAGCAGAAATAGGACCAGCTCTTGTGTCAGAGATGGAAAAACATCCCTTCACTGCTAGTCTTCAGGGGTTCTGCTCCTCCCAACCTGTCATTTTCAAACAGTAAACAAAGCCAGAACTTGCCTGTCCAGGTCTGCAGGTGCCTCTGATCTCTTCTGAAGAAGGGCAGGGTAACAAAAGCTGCAGGCGATGTTGACAGCATGCTTAACTTGCCCCATGTATGACACTGAATGCAAGAAACTCTCCCAGGTTCCATCTCACAGTGTGAAGGAGGGACACCCATGCTAGAACGGGACAGCAACAGCTCCCGGCATCACTCAGAGAGCCACAGGAGCTTCCATCCTTCTCCCCAGTTGTTGGTGAGTGGAGATCTTTCTGATGCAGTGGTAGTCAGAAACTCA